TTTTGAGACATTCATTTTCGGTGACGGATCATAAAACTTTTCTAAGGGCGCCTTCGGCGCTAATATATACTATGTTTGAGGGCGGATTGCGCGCCGAGAAAACGCAATTTTTTTATTATAATTTTCCGAAAACTGCCTAAAAACACCTTTTGTGGCCTGCTTTTTCAAAAATTTCCCTTCGGCGCAGAAAAAATTGTCAACTTTTTAGTGCTTTGGGAGAGCTCGAAAAATCAATTTTGTCGACTTAAAAAAAGGTCGTCAAAAATTTTGAAATTTTTTTGAAAATCCGCCACCCTAGATCCTAGATGACCCTAATGAGACAATCCTAGAAGATCCTCGAGACAATCCTAGATGACCCTAATGACCCTTCTTGCAACTTTGAATGACGTGACAAAAATTTTTCGAAAAAACTTTATTCGCCGATTTTTCATCTCTTGGAAGTGCGCCAACTAAAATGCAACTGAGCCACGAACAATTCAAGTTCAAATTCGAATAGTTCACAGCCGGAAAGAAACAGTGTTCAAATTCAAATAGTTCACCGCCAGAAAGAAACAGTTGCAAATTAAACTTTTAAAAGGGCTGACATTATTTTCATTAATTGCGTACATATCTTGGCGCGTAATATTTTTTAGTAATGGCTTGTGCAATAGGTAGCTAAAGCGTAGTCTTTATAACTCATTTTTCACATGTTTGAAAATAAAGACCGACTCGCCTTTAAACTCTGTTTCCAAAAAACTAACAAAAAAACTCTTGTCTCAAATTACAACTGTCATCCGATTCAAATGAAACAAACTCATTTTATTCTGACTGTTTAACAAAAATCGAGAGACTCGATTTTTTGTTCATTAAAAATTGAACTTCAAATTGTCTAATAAAAATGTAACCACAAACACTTATTACCAGCTTTTCATCAAACTTTTCGTTTTGAATTTTTGGGGATCTGAACCATGCCTTAAAAAAATCCAAATGAAAATAGTTTTGACCCTCGTCACCTTCTTTTTGGAGTTGCGTAAAGTTCAATCATTACTACGAATTTTCACTAACTCACAAGCGATCGAATCAAAAACAGGTAGATGCAAAAAGCTAAAATTCAACGAGTACTGAAACGAAACAGCGATCAATGAGAGCTCAAATTCAAATAGTTGAAAAACCGCAGGAATATAAAAGCGCAACTTTTAACAATTAAACCTGACTTTGTTTTTTTTGGTTGGCTTAACTACTAATTGGTTGGATTAACTGTCATAGAGAAATCACTGAAGTCTGCTTCTGTTGTCAAAAGTTGCCGCACAAACTTTAATTGTTTCGACTTTTGTAACGAAAGTAACGGAATATTAGTGCTCGGGGTTGGTTTTTTTTTCTTCAGACAATTTTCGACTTTTTAACTAGCCGGACTTTTTCTGACGGAACTTTTTCTTATCATTCGAAAGATATTGTTGTCTTGAACCTAAATTTGAAAAGATATTTTGCCTGTGAATATTTTTCGTAAAGTTAAAGAGTCAAAGATTGCCATTTTGGCCAATTCGGGACAATTACGCGCGATATATTGCTTGAAAAATTGTTCCAAATTGGTTGAAGGAAGCTCATGTGCCATAATCGATTTGTTACTAGCAGACAAATTTATCTTTTTGTTCTTTGAATGGCGTGTGGTGGATGATTTTCACAAAAACCCTCAAACTAAAAAAAAATTCGTTTTTTTCTTATTACCTTCAACTTTTCATAATATTAATGCTCCATAGACCTTAAAAGGCATTCGGAACAAGTCATGGCTTTGCCCTGATACGAGAGTAGAGAAATAAATTGGAAATTGAACAGCTTATAATTTATGAAAATTTTGAAAATTAGAAAATAACTCCCATATTAAGTTGTAGTTATTATCATATTGATAGGAGACTTGTTCCTCCTCTCTGAATGTTTTATCATTTCAAATATATTGTTTCAACAAAATAATGGCACTTAAAAGTATTTCCCTTATTTTTTTGCAGAAATTAGTGCCGGGGGACTAGTCGGACTAGAAAAAAAAACAGAAAACAAACTGGCAAATGCAGATGTTTGTTGTCTTCTGCTTCATTTGAATTTTGAAAATTTCAGACGCATGATTTTAAGAGACCCGATTAGTTGTTAAGGACATGTATATTACAGTCGGGTCATTAATTGAAGTATAATGTGCATGTTTTTAGGCAAATCAAACCCTATTCTGATTGAAACTCCCTGAAGTTTGCAATTTGTCAGATCGCGAGGCCTAATCAAGCTTCTTAGTTTTATTGCTATTTGCATCTTTTGCTTTACCTCCTTACAATTGCATCTCATTAATGTCATTCCCTTTAGATGTTTTTGCACCTGGAATAGCACTCTGACGTACTGCTCACCAATCTCCGATGCTACTAACTGTGCCAAGCACGCAACAATAGCTTAAACAAAAAACAAATTTTCGACTATCGAGCCAGATGAATATTTGACGATAGATTCTTGAATGAAAAAATGTTTGTAAACATTTTCCATACAAACGCTTGCCGGGATGCCAGAAGATTTTTTGAATTTATGTTTATTTTATCATTGAAAGACATGGCAAACATTTTTATTTAAAGGTTTTCAAAAGCTTCAAGTCGGTCAAAGTAAAAGAGTAAACAGAATCTAAATTGACTTATCTGAGACTTGAACAGTATTTATATGAAAACACAAATATTTTGTCTCCCGGAGGAGCTTTGAGCTCCATTCTTTGATTGGAGTTGCGCTATAGATACACCCGACCACCGCAAACTGAGAAACTGAAAAAATTGGAAAAATGTTCTTGTTCCCGATCGGGATTCGAACCTGTTCAACAGAGGTGTGAGATCAAAACATATACGTACGACTATGCTAGTAGTTAAAATCAAAACGTTAAAAATTTTCAACAAGCAGCCGATTCAGTTATCGCTTTTGCCGTAAAAATTTGAGATTTTTCCGTGAGAAGTGATTTGAAATTCATCTGTCAATTTCGTCTATTCCCTAGATTGTCGAGTCTTAATGCGAAAAAAAAACTGAGGAAAAAATAGCGGTTACGCTTACGCTGCGAGATTGTCATTCTCGGAATCAGAAGTATAACGTTAAAAACTCGCGATGGCTCGTTGAAATTGGATTTAACTCAAGCGTTGCGCGCACTCATAGGGAAGGGTGGCGGAAAAATGCGGACCATCATGGTTTTTTATTACTAGCTGCTACAACTAGTATGAGAAATATCATGTAGAGTGATTTATTTGATCAGCTTAAAGTTAACTCTGGTAAGTAGGACAAAAATCTAAAACATGTCCTGCGTGCACATTGAATCGAAGCGTGGCATAGTTACTTGAAACCAAAAAAACTGTTTAAATTTGGCACTTTAGTTTTTGAGAATTATATTTTCAAATAACTTTTTTGCTGCTCCTAACTCCAACGAAAAAGAAGAAAACATATGCTTTGGTTGTTTTTTTGTTCAATAATCTTTTGAAACAAAGTTTGCTAGGGGGAATCAAACCATCATGATCTCAATTGGGTTGCCTCGCATTATATTAAAATTGCTTTTAGCCTCGATAATTTAACCGTTCAATATTTCAATTCTATATCAATGATGCTGCATGCGCATCACGAGTTTTTCGTGCACACAAACTTGTTGCAACAAAAGTAAAACTGAATGATCAAATATCTTTATATGTTCAAATTTTGACATTTAAAATTTTCTATTGATAGTCCAAAATTCCTGGAAAATCAAAATTTTTCCTACTAATAGTTAGTGCAGACAAGCAGTGTTGTTGAGAGATATCGGCTTTTCTGTAAAAGGTCTGAAAGCCAAAAAAAAACTAAATTTCAGCTCAATTTCTAGAGAGCACTTAATCCATTCCTTAAAAACTGGACGTGTCTCGACTAATACGAGTTTCGTTTAGCCTGTTTGTAAATTTTAGCCTTCCCAATGATAGCCATGTTGCTGTGCAAGTCGCTCAGAATTTTCCGACCACATTTTCAGAAAAAAATCTTTGTTTTCGTTTTTTTTTCTCCAAATTAATGTCTTTTTTGTACTTCGTGTGATGAAACAGCTATACCAAAGCGTAGAATTTAATTGAATTAGGTATAAGCAAACCCAATAGACTTCCAAAGTCAAATAACTTATTAAAAAATATATTCTTGCAAATATTTTTTTTCTTTTTTTTTGCAAATTTTTTTCATATTTTTAAATTTTTTTGCCATAGAAGAGCTAAGCGAAACTTCCAAAACGAGTTTTATTATTAGTAAAATCAAGTTTCTTTAGCCTAAACTTCTAATTTTTATATATAACAAATGTTACTCGATTGTTTTACATGCTGAAAAATAGACGAAAAAATAATAGTTTTAAGCCGATCACTCTCGACACAAGGAAATTTTTTTTGAAGTTCTCAAATCTCGACTAGAAGGTTTTATTATGTTATGTCAGTCGATCCTGTCCAGTGATTATCTGTGGAACTTGATTTTGAGTGGGAAATAAGGGAAAAAAAACAAAAATACACCCAAATACAAAATTCATCCCCAGTTTTAATGGTCGGAACAAAAAGACAACTAAGTACGTATAAAATAAAGCAAGAAAAGTAAAAATACGTACGGATTCCATTTTGTCTTCAGTTCAACTCAAAGATAAAAATCATTTTGCCAAAACATTTCTGATATTAAATCTTGTCAGACTGAAAAATCAAAAGTAAAGAATAAGATTTGATTTATACTATGAAGTAGTACAAACAAGTCATACCAAACCTACAAATGCTGTAACGGATCAGAAACTACTCTAAGAGAATTCTTATCTCAAATTAGTCTTTTCGAATTTGTTAACGTTGTTGGAAGGACTTTATATCAAAATGTTTTGAAAAACCTGAATTTTGATGTCCGATCAAAATTAAATTTTTTGAAGCTTACAAAATATTCGATTCAGATATACTTATTTTATAGAATTTTTTGCGAAATGGGTGGATATTTGTTTTGAATGATTCTCAAGTTGTTATTGTTTTGAATTTATTTTTCAGTTTGTGCGGAGGATGCTTCAAACGGAGGTCACTGGAGGATCCTGCCGTGTCGCAAAACATGCAAACAGGTGCTCAGAAAGTGTCCCGAGGCCGGGAAGTTTTCCTCGCAACTTCCTAATAAGGTAAAAAAAACATTACAGTATAATTTATGCTATTTTTTCCCATTTACCAAAAGAAAAGTGAAAGTTTTTTTACCACTGCTTCTGAGGAACTGAGGAAAAACAGCTAGAAAAGCAAAACTTAGTAACACTTTTGGCGTAACAAAATATATTTGTTTTTGCTGTTTTAAGCAATGCCTCTAAAACAAAAACTTTAAAGCTACGTAGTTGTATAAAATATTTTGCACCAAAAACTTTTAATCCAAATGTTTAAAAACGTATTTTTTTCAGTCAACCGTATTTAAAGCCGCCAACAATAATTATTTTCAATGATATTCACGGGTTTTTTGTTTAGGGCTCCTCGATTCCCTTCTATCCTCGCAAAGATCTTCTAGAATGTTCCAAGTTGCCCATACATCAGCCATGTATTGCTCCAACAGTCATGGACATGATTTTAAACGAAGGATACGATGACTGAGCCACACACTGTTCAATGGCCATAGTCACGATACCATGATTAACATGAAATGATATTTGATAACTGTAGTAAAGAACCTCAATTGTATTTAAATAAGCGAAACTGTCTCGCTTATTATCTGACTAAATAACATGTTTACTTAATCTAACTGTGAATAACCTAAAATATTATCAGAATAGAAGTGAAAAAGAATTGGTTTTAAAAACTAATTCTGTTTTTTTTTTCTGATCAAAACATTCTTTTTCGAAATTTTGCTATGAGAGAAACCTTTGAACCGAGCTACCGAAAAACACTTCAATAGTTTACTTGCGACAATAAATCGTAGAATTATGCTGTAGAACGTTAAACCGTATAACTACAGTGGGTGGTGTTTTTATTGAAGAAAAAATTTATTTCCCCAAGACTTATAACAAAATTAGTCAATATTCTGCGTTAGAAACTAAGGAGAGGAAAACTTGAAGACATATGCAATACCCACTAATAGGCTACCTTTAAAATGGAATAACCTGTCAAAATAATTTCACTATTGATTTCACCTCCTTTCAAAAGAAATTTTTAATTGATTTCACCTCCATTCGGTAGGTAAGAAACAGAAAAAACGTCAGACAAAAACGATGCACGAAACACGTCAGATAAAATTGAGATAATTGATATTCTAAAACTTGAAGAAAAAAATGTATAAAAATTGATAATATGATATAAAATGGCAAATTGAAAAGTCAATCTTTGTAGCGTTTATTTCAAACATTTTGCTTTGCAGACAAATTTAAAGCGAAGATCAACTCATATTTATCTTTTCACGGTTCTTAATTTAAAGCAACTACTACGAGGCCGATTTGTACTCTGGATAAGCGCAGTGCTTGGCGTTTGTAGGACTCTAGAATCCAGAAACGAGTCTTTAAACATTCTTACAGTGGAATCCACTTACAAAATTGCCTGTAAAGATGCCTGTAACGAAAAATTTTTTTGGTCGGCGTACTATTAATTCTAAGGAGTCCGTAGCAAGCAAAGATAACAGTTCAATTCGGATTTCACAAATTATTGAAGTAAAACCCTCAATTTTGATTCTAAAACCTTCAAAATTTTAAAGTGAATTCCGCATTGTTTTAAAACTGAACTAATCTAAAACCAGTTCTAGCGTCCCGTACCGAGTAAAATTTCTAAAACAGATCTGAAATAGTCTTTTTCATATCTAAATTTCAGATCTGAAATAGGTTGTGAAATTTTTAAAAAACGCTGGATGCTTTAAGGATTGGTTATTTCAGATCTAATTTCAGATCTGAAATTTTTTTTCTTGGTTACTTCAGATCTGAAAAAAATCTTTTTCAGATCTAATTTCAGATCTGAAATTTAGTTTTTCTTGGTTATTTCAGATCTGAAAAGTATATAATTCCGACTCAATTTTTACAAGTTTTGATTTTTTTTTGTATTCGATAGTTTCTGCTAGTTACTAGCATGAACTCAGCGAAGTCTCAAATTGGAGACTGCCAAATATGTTTTTTCAAGCACGAGATAAACGTTGGAAATGCATAACTAGCGCATGAAAATCAAAAATGTGACAGGTCTTCTAACAGTTTTTGAAAACTTTTCAACACAGTTGAACAAAAAATTTAGTTAAAAAAAACTGTTTGTGAAATTATTCGGAAGTTTTTTTTTACAGCTAGTTAATTTAAACATAATTGTGTATTGCAGAAACATCAACAAATAAAAACCCAATTTTTCTGCTCGAAATTTAACAAAGGATTTCTCGGATGTAATTTCAGATCTGAAATTTTGTTTTTCAAGGCTATTTCAGATCTGAAATTTGCAAATTCTTATCAAAATCTGAAATAAAGAATTTCAGATCTGAGAATCAATTTTTGTACGAAATTTCGAATTTCAGATCTTCTGAAACTTTCTGCTCGATAATTTAACAAAGGATTTCTCGGATGTAATTTCAGATCTGAAATTTTGTTTTTCAAGGCTATTTCAGATCTGAAATTTGCAAATTCTTATCAAAATCTGAAATAAAGAATTTCAGATCTGAGAATCAATTTTTGTACGAAATTTCGAATTTCAGATCTTCTGAAACTTTCCTGCGTACGGGATGAACGGCTAAGTGCTAATCATATTTACGAGCCTGCTAAAATGAATCGATGATTATTGAAATAGAGACAATTAAGCAAAACAGAGTTAATATATGGGCATAATCGGCCAATTTGAATTCATTTCGGATTTGATATGAAAATCATTTTAAAATTATTCGAATAACATACAAAAGTTTCGGCTTTTTTTATTTGGCTGAGTACACATTAAATTGAATTCGTTAATTTTGTTATCCCAAGCAGTATATGGGATCTTCATAATTTAGTTTTGATTCATTCAGAGCAAACTCAGTGCTTCAGTTTTTTGAAATTGAACGTTTGATTGAGCTTTTTTCGGAACAAAGTCAAAACTTGGGATTAGGTTTTTAGAGTGATCCGATATCATTGAAAAATATAGATCTATAAACTGTTCCATATTCCGCAAGATTCAGAATCCGCTCCAATTTAGCCCAGTTTCCTTTCTTGTTACTAGGAAAAGCAGGTAAGTTTGTGGGAAAAAGAAAAAAAATAAACAAAAAACTGCGCATTTTTATCCAGCTGTTTCTATGTAAATGATTATGTCATCTCGTAATACTTTTCATGCACACCGGAAAAATGCCTCACTTATTTTCTTTCCAGCGTAAATTGGATGTAGAGTTTTGTCTATGTAACATACTTGGTTGTACACGTGGTTTGATTTTTTTTATAAGCAAATACTATTTCAAACCCACAATTTGAAAATTAACAAATGTTTTTATTTATATATTTTTCGCATATTTCCCGCACTGAAGTTTCATGGATAATTACCAATTATTTTGGATTTTTATTTTCAGTCTCTATAAAATAACAAAAATAATCAATTGTAATCAGATAAAAATAGATTTTGCTTACAATTTGCAAACTCTGCTCACAAATTGCGGATTCTGGAACACTTTGAGGTTTCCGCTTGCAGAATGTGAGTGCCGCGACAGCGCAACCCTTTACACACACGTATAAAATTGTTTATGGTTTCCATTCTGCTCTACATTTTGCAGGATATGTTCCAATTCCATTTTATCTGGGGTTTTTTGGAGCGATGCAATGTTGTAGACATTTTTCGTAACGTTTTACCTGAAAAGTCTTCTTTAAAATTTAGCTGTCTAGCGGATTCAAGTCTGTTGCAAATCCAAAAAAAAAAGTTTCTTGGCGTTTAAGGACAAGTTTGGCAGCAGTAGAATCTCAACAGAAAGCCAAATTTAAACACCATAACTTTTCCCAATTTAACGACAAACACTTTTCACCAATGATTCCTATGAAGCCCTCACATACCCAGGCCATTTTCGTAAATTTTTTTTGGAAAAACATCAACTTACGCTTGATACTTTTGTCTGTGGTTTTTTTCATGTTCACATCGATAAATTTGTCAAAATTAATCTGATTTCAAGTATTTTCTTTAAATGAAGAGTCAGTAAAATTACATGGAAAATAGATAAAAACAAAAAAAATCCAGCAAATTTTCAGTAGCTATCTTCACCTAGTTGATTAAATCATCTCATAAGGATATACAAAATCCTATCTTAAACCATCGCATAAAGTTGGCCTAGCTTAACTTGTTTTCAAAGCAAACCAGTTTTCATAAAAAACGGGGAGTGATTTTTACTTTTTCTGTTCATCTGATAGAAAAAGTCTCACCAGAAGCGGGAGTACTTTTAACTTTTTCTGTTTATTTGACAGAAAAAGTAGAACGGCCATTAACTTCTGCAATTGTAAGCAAAAAGTTTCAACTACTGCGTTTGATTTCAGGTTGATTAGATTAATGGCATTCAAAGCTTTCATTCTAGAAAATAACTGTATCATGAAGATGCGTTAAGAGAACAAAAAAAATTGGAAATTTGAAAGGTATTCTAAACAGCTTTTAAAACTCTCTGACGCATTTTCAAACTTTTTTTGGTTTTGGCACCATGGTCGGACACAAAGTGTACTTTTTGCACTTAAGCCGATTGATCTTACTTTTAAAAACTTTTTGAATTAATTTAGCAGATTTATGGTATATGTGTAAAATGAGCTTTGATAGGTATGTTTCTCAATCAAGGCGATAGCGTATTGCTTATTTATATATATAAACATATAATTATACGTAAAAAAATATGTTCATTTTTTCCGTTTTTTATCTTTATTTATATATCATCAAACATATTTATACGAACACGCATACACAAACAACAGTGGATCTATTTTATTTTGTAAAATCGGGAGATTAAAATGGATTGATTTCGATTTCAAATTTTTACTTGCGGTTGTATAGATACTGAACTTAAAATTGTTCGCAACACTACTAAAAGACACCCACACTTTTAGATATATACACATGACTGTAAATTTTGTCTTCACATATATGCACGAAAAAAAAAACGCATAGATTTCATTTCATTCAATTTAAAACAAAAAAGCATACATAATTCTGTAAAGACATCTTACATAGATAACACAAGTTTTCTAGACGAATTCTAAAATAATCTAGAAAATCAGGAGCATCAACTACAATTGATTATAATCTCTTATTTTGTCAAAACTTTGTCAATTCAAAACAAAATTCGAATTATTTCTTGTGGGCTTTTAATTTTGTGTCAATAAGAAAATCTCTAGAAAAGAGATCTCTTGAACACTTTGGTTCATCTGAACACAAATTTTACCACGAAACAAAAGTTTCATAGAGATGCTTTCATATTAGTGGAAAGGTTCCAGCAAAAGATGAAAAGTCTTCCGAATGAATCATGAAACTAAATCATTTTTCTGATGTTTTGGTGGTTGAAAAAGCTTACAGTATGAATCACAAAACAAATCTAATGGGGAAGAAATAAAAAAAACCTTAAAATTTTGAACTGATTGGAAAACTTTAAAAACATTTTTCTCATTTTTCATAGGAACCATTATCTACAAAAGCATAAAATATAAGCAATTTAGATGCAACTTCGAGAGACAAAGTGGACAAACAAAACAGACTATAATCAATTATAATCGATTATAATGGATTTTTGTGCAAAACTAATGAATTAGAATTTTGAATAAAAATAATGGATTACAAT